GTCATGGTGTATTCTTACACCATGGTCAACGCACTTACTGATGCCGGACACATTGAACATTGCAAAAGCCATAATCGCGCACAGGCGATACACAACTGTACGATCGATGCGATCTTCTTTTTCTTCTTCTTTTTTGTATAGCGCTTGCTCTCCACTGAGAGTTAAGACGGCCAGGCCAGAATCCAATGCTGAAATATAATTTCTTTTTAATTGAGAATAAATCTCTATGTTGAGCCAGGAAGGATCCCGATTAAACAGTAAACACGTTACGATTGGACATAGCCACTTCAAGCCACTCACTGTAGTCACTGTAGAGTTCTAGAATCTAGATTATCAGAGAAGCGCGACCGGTGTTACGAGTCCAATGATTGGACTTGCAAATGGCCAATCATAAGATTGCTTCATCGGTATTATAAATGGCTGCTGAATGAATCAATCTTATAATTGGCCATTCGACGCTATTTTTAATATTTTGTACTACTTTTGCGATACTGCACCGACGAGATACTATTAAAGACCGATAAGGCTGAGACACAGACTTTTGCATAACGCTGCATAACGCATAAGACATAAGGCATAAGAAAATCAACCAATCAGAGTATGAAATGAAGGACTCTGATTGGTTGATTCTCTTATGCTTTACGTCTTATGCGTTATGCAGCGTTATGCAAAAGTCTGTGTCTCGGCCTATACTCTCGGGAGTTAGCGTGGCATGTTTAGTAATTGCTAAAATTTCTGACTATAAATCTAGGACTCTAATGGCAACCCTGGGTCAGTGCTGCCAGTTGGCCAGTTGGCAATAAATTTTGGAACACAGCTGTCAGCTTTTAGCTGGCTGAGCTGGCTCCTCTGCACCTTGATACACACGGCAAGCGTTGCTGCGTCCTGGGTGTGCATCCAGCATAAATTGATCTAAATTACGCGTAAACAAACCGACACATGTGACGGAAGAGTGAACTAGAGAAGTACTAGAACTGAGTGTTGCTGTGGTCGAGTGGTCGATGCAATCCCTTTGAGCCGTCGCGCTCTTTGTGCACCGCTGTCGTCGACTCCTTCCTAAAATTCTTCAGATTGCGTTGACATGGACGTGAATATCGCTTCGCAACGTATATGTAAATATTTGTACTAATTACAAATATGTATTTTTTTAATTATTTATTTTTTTATGATTTGATGTATTTGACAAAAAATTTAATTTTAATTATCTATATGATTAAATATATTAAATACCTCAAATTAAAAATAAAGATAAGTATTCTAAAAATTTATATACTTTAAAGCAAAAAGTAATTTTAAATACAAGATACTTTAAATTTTTTTTAAATACATTTTACATCTTATCTGTTCTTCCTACAAAGACAATAATATAAAAAAGTAGCATCAAGTAGGAATAAAGAAATATGTATAAAATTTAATATTTTTGTATTATAATTTTTTTTTAATTATAGCAATCAAGATCCTATTATTCGTTGACATACAAAATAGTACGTATAACAATTTTCACGCGTATCATACCTTAATTAGTAAAATATCTGATTATTAATAATAATTATTTTTTATTATGATAGAATAATAGGAACGTCTATTCCGCATTTTTGCACGTCTTGTGTTCCAGGCACACATCGTAACAACACTTTTCCCACTCGTCGCACTCGTGATCGCTGTCGCAGTGCTTAGGCGGCTTGTACCAATCGTAAGCTCTCGGACAGTGGGCCCTCAAGGGTGGGCAATGCTTTTTTGGCTTCATCACGACCTCGTGCCAGTCGTGCGGGTCGTGCCAAGGATGCTCAATATGCGGCTCGATGTGCTCAGCGGAGAGTCCAAACCAAAACCAGGGGAAAAGAAACGAATGCCAGCTGTGCTCCGACGAAGACTCGCCTTTCCCGTTTGGGCAACAATAGTACCGATGATTGCCCATTTTGCACCAGTATTTGCAGGATTTCATGTAGGCTTTCGTCAGAATGGCGAACAATAATAGCAGGCACAATGAGTTTCGGCGCATGTTGAGGCACTTCCAAAAGCGATGAAAATACGCCGCTTGACGTTGTCAATTATTCTACTTGGCCTCGCTCCGAATCTCGGCTTAAAAAATAATATGTCGATTGTTCCAAACATATAATAATTAATAAATATAGGCATTGATACCGTTTTTCGTATTAGAAATTTTTAGATAGATTTTTCCATAATTAATTAAATGTACGTAATTTATATATACTCGAATCGATACTTTTTTATTCAGAAACATACGATAGTGGCTGTGAAATTAGCTTTGAAGATTACAGTAATTACGGATAGTGGCTTTTTTATTAATTTTTTTTTACAAAGCGCGACCGATTTTATATTTTATCACGAGAAGCTTTAGAAATATTTTTCAATTTTTCTCCCAAGGCGTGGATACTTACTTACGGTTCGACGGTTCGCGATTCAACCGACGACAGCTCCTCGTTTAGCGTGTCTTATATAACGCAAGGAAGGAACACGCCCCAACCCGTCGAGGAGGGTTGTAAATCGCGCAACACCTCCAATACGTCCATCATCGACGACGTGCGAGGCACGCTTGTTCGTACTCGATTTCACATGTCAGCTTTGTTCGTCTCCGATGGAAAAAAACATCGAGAAACGAAGGACACGTCATATTCGCGTTAGAATGGCCAGGGCCGAATCTATGGTGCCGACAAAGAAATTTCAAGTCTTAACTTTAATGTCACAACCAGCTAATTGCGTGACTCTTTGAAATTCATATAGTCATTTATTTATTCCCATTCTTCCGCCACATCAGCTCGGTTAAAAATTGACGGATGGAGCACAATAACAGCAATTGGTCTTCCCAAATTTTTTGCATTTATTTGGTGGATGAAATTTAAGTGTTTTGCGCGTTTAACGATTATTAAGAGTAGAACACGAGTTTCCGTGTTGTCAATCAGCGAAACATGTACGTGCGACCCTGAAAACAGTATAGCGAGATTGCGCGAGCGCGCGGAAATTTTTCTTCCGCGATATTTCGCGAAGAAGCCCGCGCCTGCGGGACGTCGACATAATTGCCGGCCCCGATCTACTTCGTCGCGTGCCGTGGAATCGTCCCCGATACTCGTTTGTTTCGAAGTGGCACGAGATAAAAAAATTAAAAAAATTAAAAGAAGCGCCCGGACCCGAAACGAGATGATGCGCGGGACAGATGCTCTGCGCGGGATTCAAATTTCAAATTAATAAAGCTCGATGAGATTTGCATCAGTTTAATTTCTTATAATGCTACGAATACGTGAGAAAAATCTCTTTATTGTTACCGCACGAGATATTTATAGGTATTAAAGATATATTATAGATATTAAAGATAGATATTAAATTATATTTAAATTGGCCAAATTTTCGTGACTGCAGTCACGTGGGCCCGAGGGTAATTGAAGAACGATGACATTACCAACTATTTTGGCTGTACCGAGGATAACAAACATCGTTTTACGTGCGCGACCGAATCACTAATTTATTATCAACAATGAAAAGTTTACATGTTAATATTTCAATTTTCGCAATGTTTGCTGTACATATACACATATACGTACATTAAAAAATTATATAATTATATTAAATTAAAGGCATGTAAACTTATCACTGTCGATAATAAAATAGTGATTTTTATCCCTCGCGGTACAGTCAAAATGGTTGGTAATGTCGTCATTCTTCAATTACCTCCGGGGCCCACTTGACAGTTGACAGTCACGAAAATATTTGCCTTTGGCCGGCCGCATAACATAGTTCGTCGGTGTTTATATTGTCAAGCGTCGCGTTGCATCTCATTCAATCGCGAATAATGTGCCTGAGGACTGTTATCGTGTGCTATGGTATCCAAATATATACGAGCTCAGCGAAATTAATTAATGATATTAATTTTTTCGACAGGATCTACGAAAACGTAATTAAACGCAATGTTAGCCATTATTTCCCCTAGTATAATATCAAATATCAATTACAATAGCGTTCGTAAATGAGGTAATTGTTTCCTTTCAAAACAATGGAAACATTCGTACATGCAACGCACCGACGCACGGCCGGCCGCGGCGCGGGCGGTCGCACAATGGTTCGTCGACGTGTTATTGTCAAGCGTCGATCGCGTTTCATTCAATCGCGAATAATGTGCCTGATGAGGACTAATTATCGCTGCTATGGTATCCAAATATATATATACAAGCTCAGCGAAATTAATTAATACAATTAATTTTTTCAACAGGATCGATACGAAAACACAAACAATATTAGCCATTATTTTTCCCTAGTATAATATCAAATATCAATTGCGTTCGTAAATGAGATAAATGGTTTCCTTTCAGGACATTTGAAACAATGGAAAAATTCGTACATACATACATACAACGCATCGACGACGCGCGGCACAATCTAATTGAAGTTGCAGCGCGTCATAATAACATAATATGTATATAAAAGCGACGAGCCGCGGACTCTCAGTCAATCAGCGACGCCTATTTTGAACGCCTCTTTCGCGCTAGTTATCAAACGGTCGCCAAGACGGTGGTATAAGCTCGTTCGCTTAAATATAAATTACCGAAAACCGACGCCAATCGTCGGGTTCGCGCGCGAATGAATGAGCAATAGATCGCGAGTGCTCATCTCGTGATACGCGACGGTGCTGGCGGTACTTTTTATGCGTCATAACGGTGAGCGAAACGAGATATGCAGAGGACGACGAGGCGTCCGAGAGGATCGTAGCCGCGAGGCCCGCGAGATCCGGAGTTCGAGGAGAACGGGAGGAGGTACTACCCGGAGATGTTGGGTAAGTGTGCTCCAACATCCTCGATATTTATTCCGTCGAAAGTTGCCGCAGGTCTATATACATATACTTGCACGATCGTCGACCCGGCCGCTCTGGATAACGCAGCGATCGGTAACGAGGCTCCGTGATCATAATCTAACGAGTACAAACAAGTTCAAAGACTTAATTAGGTACATCGCTCGCTGGATGCACAGATACTATAAGTAAAGCATCCGTAGTTACACGCGAGATTTTATCGGTAGTTTTGGTATTCTAACAATCTACTTAGATACATAATTTACATTTATGTGACAATATATTTGACAAAAATTGATATAATACATATAGATATATTTATATATATTATATATACATATATATTATGTATAATTGTTATATTATTAATTACATAATAAATATTAAAGTCAGAACATTCCATCTAATTGCATAGAAGTAATTTCAGTGAAAGTATCTTGATGCTCTTTTACTGACCATTAAATTACTTCATCTATTTAATTACTTTGTTTGCCGGTCAATTATTTGCACGTAACATAATTTTAGTTTTGTATCAGATACCGATAAAATTGTAAAAATTTTGTTTAATTAAATATCTCCTTGATTTATAATTCTATAACATCTCGTTAATTCGTCATGGCAGATGTAACCGTTTATATATCTCGCATATAAAAATTGAGGGGTGTTGGGTTTAATTATACAATAAATTATTATGATCGCTGTATCGCAATATATTGAGAGGACATAATACTTACATTGTGCAACAATGACATAGTAACAAAATACTATAACATTATCGCGTATGTGTAATATACATTTATTATATGGTACATACATACAGAATCTAGTATCTTGTGAAGATACTTCCATCTAGAGAAAAATTAATACTTCCATCGTTCTAAAAACGATTTTTTTATGCTTAGAATGCTTTTTGACTTCAACATCTTATTCTACTTCTACCATTTTTAAGATGTACAACAACGTTATGTTGCGCGAAATATCCTGATACACAACATTCTAATACATAATCGCGATTAATGTGGAAAGACTTTTACTACATCGTTTTGTTTCCTTTTGTCGAAGATGCTTCTCTCATCTTTTAAGCGTTTTGAAGGAAGTTTAAAGCTATTAGCTATATATTCGCGCGTCTGTCCCCTATAATTTTTCAATTATAAAAGACAAACTAATTACACGTTAAATTTCCATAAATTTATTACACACGTATGTAATAAATTTCATAAAAACTCCTCTATACACTATCAATTATATAATTAATACAATCGCGATACATGCTTCACAGAAATTTACATCGCGCTTATTTACGCCATTAATTACATTTGTTATATTACAAGCTACGTATATTTTTTATACACAAATAGAGATAGGAAGGTAGAATTGTGCTCTTATTGAAATTGCAATATTCAATTAATAAAAATCTAGATAGATTTGTGCAGACTTGTATGCCTCATAATAACACATACACTTTACACAACATCTGTTTGTGTAATAAAGAAAAAATGCTTAACGCAAAAACAGATGTTACTACAGATGTTAATATATCGCAGAACACTCGCCATTAAATTATTCTAGATCAACATTGAGTACTTCTTTTGGTTCGTGTCGTTCCCTTGTCGATTCGTTTATTATCATATCACAATATCATATAGATAAAATATTAGGATTCTGTTTTACGTCTTAAATTGGCCATCCTTTGTGGATTAATTATAAAACCCTGAGTAGTCACTAAATTAAACAAATATAATACAGCTTCTCTCTCTGGTACGCAATTAAAGAATTCATAAATCAATAATATGGTTTAAATATTTTCAGAATACGTTAAACTGATAAATATTCTCTCTTTCTTTTTTACATGTGCAAAAAATAAATTTCGCAATAATTTAATAAAATTACTTATAATATACAGTATGGCAATAGAGTACGAACTTATAGATAACTATAAGTTTTATCTGTGGTCTTTTTCTATCCTGAGCTAAATAGTAATTTTTTAATAGCTAAGCATCGCTCGATAACTATTTACATCTGCTAATTAGTGTTTAAATAATATTGGGTTTAAATTATTAGCCTGTTGTGTACATATATATAAATGTATATATAGGAATGGAATAACCAACACCATTTGCAATAATAATTTTCCATATAGTATTCATAAAAAAATATGTCTTTGAATTCATCGCTCATCACATTAGACTATAAATTACAATTAATTCATGCTGACGTCAATATATTATCGTACAATCGCATACAGATTAAAAATGAATCTGGTGAGAATCAAAAGAAATCGATGCCAGTAAACGTAGTTATTGGCAAATGTGACTTCTTTCAATTCTGATCAATTTCACGACTCACTATTAATTTATCTTTACTTGTCTATTTAATCCACTTTTATCATTTCAATTGGAGTCATATAAAAGCTGCACTACTTTTATGAAGTGAAAAATGATTAGAAAACATATTTTCAAACAATAATTATAGTTTGAACTAGTTTTAGTTGCGTATTCACATATTTTTAAATCTTTTAAGAGATTAAATTAAAAGAAATGATCAACAGAAGATTAATATTTAATTAGTGATATTAAGTGTCACTAATATTATGCAATATATTTTGCAATATTTCGTATTCATAAAAGATATGTTATAAATTATAATTTTGAATTATTACAAATAACTGTGTGATGCTTACGTAAGTAAGCGTACAAGCAACTCCAGTTGAAATTTTATGGAGAGGATCACTTGCATTTAATCATAGTATGCGAAAAATATTTTGTCTCGTGGAAAAATAAATACATTCTGTCTCTAAGCCGTCCGTCGCTTTACCTTCCGATACACTCGACCCCGTAGTTGTCATGTATGACCAAGGCCTCGTATTCCATATAGGGCATTTCTTGGCCGTTTTGCGGTATGTAACATACCTGGTGATTCGGTTGTATCTTGCCGATGCAATAGATACCTTCGTGCAGTACTCTGCCGACGAATAGAGCGTAACCGTCCTCGGTTTCGCCGGCGGGCAGGGCGTGCAGTGGCACGCTACCCTCCCACGACTTCACCCAGTTCACGTCCTTGCCGCACAGCACCTGGAATTCTCGTTTCTCGTGGGCATTGCCGCCCCACGCGAGCGTGCAGACGTTGTCGCGAATGCCACCCGGTGTCACTGTGCCCTGATGATGCGCCCGACCGATGTACAAGCCGTCCTCCGAGGCCATTACTGCGTTTCGAGGTAGTCCAAACGCCTCGTTGAAGTCCACCCAGAAGTGGCACGTGTCCATCAGTTGTTGCCTGATGGCAGGTGACGTGAACTGGCATTCTAATAGCACGAGTTTAAATAAAAATTTTATCACGTTTCTTCCTCATAGACAATTATATATAATAATAGTTCACATCTACGTTTGATTATACTACAGTTTCACTGCAGAATTTTTCAATTCTATAATGATATCGTAATGAATTAATGTACCTTCAATTATCCATTCTCCGGTTGCACCCCAAGCAGTACTAACTCCTATATAATTTATGACAAATGGGCTTCTGTCTTTGTAAGACATGAACGGCATGTCAAAATCATCCTCGCGGCTAACGCTTAATAGTCCATCGCAAGACCATCTGTAGAACAAAAACAAATGAGATGTTTGTGTATGTGTGTGTATCGTTTCGTGTATCTAAATTCATCTTACATAAAATAAAATGTGTGACTTTCTTACTGTATGAAAATATCACATATCTCATCAGGATTCAATATATCCCTGGTGTCTGCTTCTGCCACATCTGGTTCCGTATTATTTCTTTTTATCGCCGACATAGTATTTCCCCATCCGCCGATAATAATCTAAGACAGTACGATATTAATATTATGTAAGAAATATTTTCATTCTTTAAAGTTACCAAAATACATGTGACGCAGTAAGAATAACTGTCGCATAAAACAAGACATTACCTCATACACGTTGGAATCGCTACCAAGATGTGTCCGTAAGGCAATCCTTGCATCGTGACTAGCTTTAATGCCTAAACTAACGCTGTTTTTTGTGATGGGTATGTAACGATAGTCGAGACTGTCCGCAGTAGTGATTCTGACTGGGAAAGAATTATTGATCAGTACACAATTGGGGAGGATGTAATCTATCGTTCTTCAGTTGAAAAAGGCTAAGCCTTAAATAATTATGAGACACAATTCACAATGGAACTCACTTGGACTCATCTTTTGAAAAGCCTAGAATTCTTTGAACGTACACAGGAAATCAATATCAAAATGATTCATACTAGTCATACACGGCTCGCATTCCCGTGGTGCCGCATCGTCCACATCTCCGACGAATCGTTATCTCTCATTATCTCGATCGGTTTATCACTTAAAACAAATAAATAATCACATTATAATTCGACGTGCAAACGTATCGTTCGCTATTGACGATCAGTACTAGTGTTACAAGTGTAATCGTAACGTTTGTGATTGCTCTCTCGTCTAGTCCCCCTTTTCCGAAAAAAAAAAAAATGCCTAATTCCGTGTATACAAATAATAGTGTATCACGAGCAAAAGAAAGGATAAACCGCGTGATAAAAGACACAATAATAGTATACTCCACGATCGTGAACTTCTGTATTTTGGGGAAGCTTCAGGTGACCGAGTCGGCGCGACGTGCCGAGCAACATCGCGCCCGAAATTACGCGGATGATGCGACATTCGAGCACGTGCACGTGCCGTCGAGGGATGTCAATTGGCCCAATCGCTCGCGGTCGCGCTGCACACGAGGGCGAAATCCACACGTCTACGACTCACACTGATAGGCATGACAGCTCGCCTGGCTGTATCGTCGCCGCTTGTCGGGAACACTTGCGACGCGGCACGAAGAATGAACGAGTGAGCGAGCGACCTTGTCTTGTCCACTCGAGAAGACACGATCGGACGACCGATCATACAGCGATCGCGTCGCAAATCGCCAGTCTCGTGATTCTGCACTCACATCTCCCACACGGATAAACACGGTCCCACCACCGTTTTGGTTGGGAACGTCGGGAATGTTGGGAATGCCGACGACGTCGTGATTCCGATCGACGTATCGATACTTTCATCTCGATGTTCCCAGCGATAAATTGGCATCGGTAGTTTTTCGCTCGTCGCTGCAAAAATATTGATTACTCTTGTCACATTATCATCCAACGCTCGGAGATATACGTTGATATAATTATTAATTAATTATTTACAGCTTAATGTGATATTAAGTCTGTCGATGGTATCGATGGAGGTATCCCGCTTGGAATAAAATGTCTTTTGCGATATATCGCGCGCCAAGTTAAATTCAGGATATCCCTCGAGATTACGCAAAGTTACACATGGCTTTAAAGTATTTAAACACGTAGTACAATATTCCGCCTGTGAGATATGATCGTATCAGCTACTTTTTCTCGAAGGTCAAGATTTTACTTGCATTGGCTTTTAAAGAGAGTTTCATGCTCTGAATTAATTGCGTTCGACTTTCCATTCCGATTTTACTTTCTGTACTCTATGACGTGCACTGCAGATACTCACGATGTTACTGAGAGGTCATAAATTATTCATAAGTTCTTATTCGATACTTACTGTGTTAAGAAACGCAATTTAAGCACATATATCTATAATAACTGTAATAATAATGCGTAATGATAATTGCAGCATCTGCTTAACTTTTAACAATGTAATTAAAGCTTATACTACAAAGATCTATGTCTTTACGTTAGATCTTTGAAGGGATAGAATTTATATATAAATTATTTATAAATTTCTATATGCCACGTATTTTTATGTATATGTGCATCTTAACATATGTGTATTAATTCTTTAAATAAATTTTTTATATTATACAACATATAAAATCCTATATAAATAGAATTCCATCTTCGGTCAGAATTTCAATTAATTTTATTTAAATTTAGTTTATTAATTTTTATATTTTTATTTTACTTTATTTTTATTATATTTTTATTTTATATTTATTTTATTTATTTTAATTACCTTATTTTATTTTATCGATTCTATCTTAAATTTTGACTCGAATTGTAAATCGTCTAAAGTGGGCTTAATTTTAATTGCATATATTTAAATGATGAAATAAAATTATAAAAAAATTTAATTTTAGAAAAAGTTCAACTTTGTTCTAATGTTACTCGTGCATAATTTTCTTTCTTTTATGTTACAAATAAATTAATAATGTATAGCGTGCTCCCAGGTTAAACCGTTAAAACATGAATTTTCTTCTGAAAGTTTATTTTCAAACTCTCTATTTAAGAGATCTTAAGTTACATGACTGTATGATTAATGTTGAAATAATCTAGATTTATCTCTTTTATTGCTTTACAATAATCAAAATGTAATTTTGTGTTTTAATAAATAAATGTTAATAAATGAATTGTTCAAAATGATAGCTTTCAGTCTTGAAAGAAGTATTACTTATCGACGAGAAATAACGAGCGGCTGACTGACATTGTGCGTCTGTAATTTTTTCGCACGCTTGCATTATCCACCGTTTTAATGATTGAAGGTCATTATAACGGACCTCTTCGATCTTTAAAACAAAACCAAAAGACATTTCGACATATATGCCTATTATTCATCCTCACATACTTCTGTAACTTAAGAGGTCAATATCTCTTAAAAAGCGTTTAACCCGGGAGCACTCATATCGAATGTAATGCACGTTTACACACATATATATATTAGAATCGTTTCACGAAAGGTACACATTTTTATATCAAACGTTATCCACGTACTAACGTCGAATATAGTACGCATGCAAAACAATAGAGACATTGACATTTACATTCAATTGCCAGGGTCATTGCCGTCCAAGTACTTATTGAAATACATCTGATTAACTTAGGATCAGTGCGCTTGAATGAATACATGCGAACGCACGTGCGTGCGCGGAAAGTAGAAAGCATTAAAAAGGACAACGAGCAAAACTATAAACTCTGGACAGGTGTACTTAAACATATACGTACGTATATCGTACCGACTTCCGTGAACAAGTGGCAAGGGATTGTAATTTTTTCTGCTTCGTTTACGAACTTTCGAGCCGGTTGCACGAACTTGAAACGTTATACGGATGCATCCGGCAATTGTACACACGCGAATTGTTCCAATCGAGATTTATTTCTAATTCACTCTTTCATATGATTCTGTAATCTCGATCGTGCTTTTTTCTCAAAGGTAATATTGACATCATTAAATTTTATTTTATTTTACTTGGAGATCGTAAATTATATAGGATGATGTATGAGTTGCAATAGAGCCGCGATAATACAATAAACCAAGTTAAATATACAAAGAATTAATTGATATGTTATTTGCTGTAAATAATGAAAAGAAAATTAAATGTTTGTGAGAAATGTGGAAATGCGCTTTCTACAGTAAAAGTTTCAAACCGTGAGAAATAAAGTTCTCTCGTCAGATTTGCCATATTTAAGGGAATGGCGAAAAACTTTCTTTTTCCACATACTTAGTAGCATTATTATTCAAGCAAGACACTCAGTTTACGTATTTTACGTATGTACATAAAATACGTAAAATATCTCTAAAATATCCTTCGGTTAGGAATTTCAATTAATTTTTATTTTATTACATTTTCATTTTTTATTTTGTATTTATTTTATTTATTTTAATTACTTTTTATTTTATCGATTTTATTTGGCATCAAATAAAATGAAATCATACACATATATGACCATTTTTCAAAATATTTTAAATTAAAAAATTTCTACGTCGGAGTAATTTTGTTGATGCTACTTTATATTTTTCTATAGTTTACGACTAATTATGGTAATATCTTTTATGCTACAGGAAATGCTGCGGGTACCTGTTGAGAGATAATTTTGTTGATGATTAATTTGCAAATACATAGTAGATTGATAATAGTATTAATCATACGTAAATTACGCGTGCATCTCATGTACCGCGCTGTACCGCGCACGTTAGCCGAAGAGATATCTCGTAGGCCGTTATAAGAACGACTTATTCGTTACTATGTCGCGCAATCATAGTGATGTAAAGAGCACTATAATGCGGCTGATTATTGTAATAGGGTAGAGGCGGGGAGAGACAATCCTTCCTAGGATGTATTTCATGGAACCTTCGTGCGTTAGGCACATATGTAGGTAGGTCACAATACTGCGCCTCGTCGTAGTTCACCAATGCAGTTGCACAGAGAGGTGACCCATTGCTTTCCCTGTAAAAGCGAAGAGCTAAATCAGGTTGACTCGTTTCTCTCCGCTCTGTATGGTCGGGTCCCGACCAATGTCACATCAGTATGTGCACACCGAGATCGCTTTTACCTTTTCGTAAGGCGAGGGAGTGGGCTGCTGGGGGTATAAAACAGAAAACAGCGCTTTTACCAAGCCAATATGTGTGTAGTTCCATTTTGGTAGACACCAGAAAGGTGTCTAGTTCTTGCTTGATTGACATTGAGTTATCGTTGAGACATGACGGGAATCAGCATGCTGCTAGTAAGTAGATTCAAATTCCAATTCAAATTCAATTTGTCAAGTGACGGGATATCGAAGTATTTCAGAAAGCAAAGTACATTTATTATACATCGCGCGTATAGTGTTGGGCATTGTTGGCATTTAAAAGTATATGAAATTAGAAAAATAAAAATTCCATTCCATTGCCATTCTATGCAATTTCTCCTTTCTGTTATATTTAATTATTCTACTTAATCAATTTTTTAGACTACATAAAGTGTTATTATTATATGTTATTGATTAGAGAAGATATCTTGAATAAAGTTTTATTTTTCAAATAATAAATAAAACCTGAACGTTTCATTTTATTATCTCATTTTTTAAATTGTGTAATTTACTTTGCATTCTGAAATTTTTATTTAAATTTTCATTTTATAATTCGTGATTACGATGCAGTATTTTTCTTCTTTCAATTTTACATTAAGTAATACGTCGTTTAGCTTCTCATGGAGTAATTATTTTTTTTTTAGAGCGCAGTGATAATTTGTTGTGTGATAGTTGCGAATGCGGAGCAGCCTCTGAATAGTATGTATTGCTGAAGATTTTCGCGCTACGTTGCTTTCTATATTCATATATTTTTGTAAAAATTTTATAACATACACAAACTTATAAAGATTAATTATAATATTTTATGAGAATATTATAGCAATATAAAATTTTCCATTAGAAATAAGTTGTATTTCACTTTAGTAGAAACGCCATTTCGTTGTAGGCTACTCTTACACTGGCGATAGCAATGGGTACGATTACAGTAATACCGTTACGAGTAATGGATACTTTGGCGCTAAGACTAGCTATCAAAACGACGGAAGCTTTTACGGTGCTGGAGACACCAATCACAAATTATCAAATCCTGCCAGCGGTCACTCGTTTAACATCGGTAATCAGGGTGGTATCGGAGGAAGTGACGTAGGAAACAGTTACAACGGATATTCAGCGAACGATCAAGGAAACGATCAATACGCAGGCTATTCCAACACTTACGAGAATTCCGCAAGTGAATCTTACTCTTCACCCACTCGGACAGCGTCTGTACCACTCAGAGGATATATCGGCGCTAACAATAACGGGGAGTCGACTTTTAACGCGTACTCAAGCGATTCGGTTCATAAGGACTCCGATTTTAGTCAGTACGCGGCCGCCAGCAGCAGCAGCAACAGCGGCAGTAGCAGCAGTAAAAGAATACCCGCTTATCCTGGATATTCCAGGCCAACCCGAGTATCGGACAATTATTCTGAAGGCTCTGCCGACAGCGGCGTACAAGCGGCATATCACGGCTTGTCATCCGGCGCTTCAAGCTACTCCGAGAGTGATCATGTCTACGCGCCTTATTCGCCAGGCGGTCTGACAAGCGAGTACTCGTTTGGAAAGCAGAAAATCGACCCATTGAACTTGAAAGGAGGTAACAGATATAGCGGCATTTACGCGAGTCCATCCGAGACGCGTTACACGCGGGGAAACTCCGGACACGTGAGCTATAATCGCGGCGTACCGTCGTTCATGTCAGGAGCTTCCGGGCTGGGCGGTCACTTTTCCAAAGTGCACAATATTCTTCGGGATACCTATCCGTCGGGAAAACCGGGTAAATACATCTACAAGCACTTGTCTCGCTACGCTCCGAATAACGGCGTAACTTACTTGTCGGGGGAACGCGACGGCTATTACGCGCCTTACGGCAAGGGTAGTGGGAAAGTCTTCGTAATTAAGAACAACAGCCCGAGTTACAACGGTCGTGTTTATTCCGATGAGCCGATTTACGCCGGCAGCAACAGTTACAGGAGTAAGAGTTTTGCGCCGAATGGTTATTCCGCTGCGGCGAATTTTGATGGATACCCTGGCAGTAGAAGTTACGATGACGATCCCGCTATAATCAGACAATACAGGACCAGTGGTGGTCCCATATTTATGCAAAAGCCTCTTTATTAATTTATCCTTTCGATTTAAGATTTCGTATTTAGAGAGTACAACACGTCGGATGTGTGTTTGAGATTTGTATATATATTTATTTTATAAGTGCTTTAATAGGGATTTCTTTAATGCGTTATTCAGAATAAAGATCGTTCAATCTTTCGTAAATATCCAAATGGTTAGTTATATTATTTTCCTTTCAATATCTTATATAGTATTATAAATATTATATTATATATTGAAAAATATCATGTAACGTAATAAGAAGGTATTTTTGATACATTTGATTTGCCAAGAAGCCTTCTTGCTCTTTGAGAAGTTTTGCGTTTTCTCTTTTTATAGAATCATTATTATTATTAAATTAGTATAAAAAATAAATAGGCGTCAGATATCAAGTTTCGTAATAGTAAATGATAATTATTCATTTAATATTATTAATCAATAACTTATGTAAAACAAATAAGTACATTTAAGAGTTATTTGTATTTATTTTTTAAATATTATTTGAAAGTTACATTTGTATGCTATTTATGATAAGTATACTGTAGGAATTGATAATAAAAATATTTTTATTAAAAAACACCCGCTAATTCTACGTCTAATTCTACAACTTTGATATAATAAAATTATATAATATTAACGTCTAAAATTTTCGACGTAACATTCATGGAGGTGTTCTTGATAATTTAGGCTTAGCTAAAAATGCCTCTTCTTCTTTAGCAAGTTCTGGATCATTTTTCCATGAAGCATCGTTAATTTCATTGCTGTTATAGTTATTACTATTCCTATAAATAATGCTGGTACTGAATAGATTTATAATAGCTGAGAATAAGCAGAAGCATTATTAACAAACAATAAAAATATAATTTATTCAATATCATTTAGTATAAAAATTTGGTATAAATTGCTATAATAAAAATTAACGTTATATAACGTTATATATATATATATATATATATATATGTATATATGTATGTATATACAAATAATACAAATCATACAAATAATAATACAAATAAATCATACAAAGTACGTGCTTCAAAAATAAATATTCAAAAGCTGTGAAAGATGTACCGCAACTGCAACGATTGCATAAAATATTATACTCACAGCGACGCTATACTACTGAATTTCTCCTGAATTTCTGTAAAAAAATTAGATTAAAAAATTTTATTAACGATAAATTAATGATGAATGATTTATTATCGATGAATTAAAAATTAATTTTTTTATTTCTCTTTAATTATTTTCATCTTTTAATGCAATATAAGTAATGGGAAAAATGTGGGTCAATTAACTCGTAATAAATAGCATGATATATTCCAAACTGTCGCTTCAAGCGACGCTTGCATTTTTTAAAATAGTTTCCGCAAATTTAAAATGTGTCATCTAACTGGTTAATATTTATCTAAGTTTCCATCACTTTCGTTACGTGCTCCAATTTTCCCAAGGTTCTGCGTATGTAGGGAAAGTCGTAAAGCTTTCACTGGATGTTGCTTGTGAATTATTCTCTTAATGTGCCAAGTTCGTCATTTTTAAGTCAGCTCAAAACGACAGTAGGAGTATACTGATTGTAAGTATGTTACTATTCAAACAGTAGTTAAGAATGTGAAGTACGTACCTGCTTGGCCATTCTCGCAACCGGATACAAGAATCGTAGAAGATGTCACTGCAGTTTCACTGCTATCCCTGTAAATTGATATCTGTTAACTGTTGTCAGAGAAATAGAAATTACTACAGATAAAACTGCAAGATTAATTACAATAAATAAATTAACGAACTGTATTGTATGAAATCATTTTCGCTCAAATTATTCTTTAATTAATTAATAACGCACTTGGAAGTTCGATTTTCATATAAATAAACTGTATCTTTGGGCATTATTCTTTCAGTGAAATTTCGCTTATATGATTTCATCGTTTCTAAGGGCAATTTTTCTAATCCTGTTTTTCTGAATTTATTGTGATACAATTTTCCTGTATTAATGCTATTCTTCGATCTGCGTAATTTCGATTGATACTGCATATTATTATTTATGCTAATCCTTGAATTTACTTCTGTCCTAAATTATCGTAATCAAATTTGTATCGATTATAGTTACTCTTTCGTAATTTCTATATAAATTTCTATATAGTTCGTTAAATAAGTCGAGATCAATTTGATCTATAATTTTATCATAGAATACATACAAATATTCTATACATATACCTTAGCGTGGGATATGACGGATGTTTATTACAGGTGTGATTATTGTGTTGATTGTCGTAAAAATCGATAGGATTTAGCGTAGATATTTGCTGCAGAGTCGTGTCCGTGTTTACAGCCTCTTGAGAAATTCTCGAAGAAACGCTGTAACACATTGCAAGCAACGTTTCTCCGTTCAATTCGCCAATATAATTTTGCAGTGGATCGTTTTCGTCTAATTCACTTTCCAACACATCCAAGTCTTCCTATGGAAATGTCCGATGTTCAAATTCATTCGACGTTCATATGACATTTTTTACTCGCATCGTACTTACGTTATCATCATCTCCGGTCTCGTCATTCTGCGGTGTGTTAACATTTTCACGTCTTTGTATTCTCAGTACATGATCAAGTTGTTTTCTATCGTACCGAAATTATCATTTAAGAAATAAAAGAAGTTCTATTCTCTATTGTTACGAATATTTCCTTATGAATATTCTAAATATCAAAGAAATTTCCAATTTGGAATAAATTATAAGTGTATCAAATACACTTTAATGCGGAAATTTCTTGGTATTAGAACTAGGGCTGTTACTTTTTATTCACTTCGAATATTCGAAGTTTCGAAGTTTCGAAGTTTAAAACTAACTTCAAAGCTTCGAAGTTTTGAAAAATACATTAAAAATTTGAATTTTCTTA